CAACTACCCAAACCTGCTCTACTAACCTACTCCACTAACCAACCACCCAAACCTATTCTACTAACCTACTCCACTCACCAACTACCCAAAGCTACTCCACTCACCAACTACCCAAACCTGCTCTACTAACCTACTCCACTAACCAACAACCCAAAGCTATTCTACTATCCTACTCCGCTAGCCAACCACCCAAACCTGCTCTACTAACCTACTCCACTAACCAACCACCCAAAGCTACACTACAAACCTACTCCACTAACCAACCACACTAAGCTACTCTACTAACCTGTTCCACTAACCAACCACCCAAAGATACTAACCAACTATCCAAACCTACTCTACTAACCTACTCCACTAACTACCCCCAGCTACTCTACTAACCAACTACCCAAACCTGGTCTATTAACTTACTCCCCTAACCTACCACCTAAAGCTAGTCTACTACACCAACTCCACTAACCTACTATCCAAACCTACTCTACTAACCTGCCCCACTAACCAATCACCCAAAGCCATTCTACTAATCAACTACCCAAACCTGCTCTACTAACCTACTCCACTAACCAAACACCCAAACCTACTCTACTAACTTACTCCACTAACCAACCACCCAAAGCTATTCTATTAACCAACTACCCAAACCTGCTCTACTAACCTACTCCACTAACTGTCCACCCTAAGCTGTTCTACTAACCGACTACCTAAACTTGCTCTACTAACCTATTCCACTAACCTCCCAAACTGGCTCTACTAACCTACTCCATAACCAACCACCCAAAGCTACACTACTAACCAACTACCCAAACCTACCCTTCTAACTTACTCCGCTAACCAACTACCCAAACCTACTCTACCAATACTCCACTAGCTGACCACCCAAAGCTACTCTATTAACCTACGTCACTAACGTACCACCTAACAGCCTACTCCACTAGTTTACCACCAAACTTACTCTATTAACCCGCACCACTAACTTGCCACCCAAATCTACGCTTTTAACCTACTCCACTAGTCTGCCACCCAAACCTGCCACGCTGCCTACCACACTAACCCAACACGCAAACCGACTCCACTAACCTGCCACACTGCCTACCACACGGACTGAGGGCACTCCCTGCCCTGCCACCCTCACCCACTCTGCCCATCCACAGGGGAGTCCTGAGCCCCTCCTGCCAGCCACCCCTTTTGTCTGGCATCCCCACCCAAAGGAATTTAAGCACAGAGTTTTAGGAGAGAGCACGAGCAATTCCCGGGATGGCAGCTGACCAGGCGGAGTGTTGCCAACACCGGGAACATGGGCAGGGCAGAGGACAGAGGGGATGCAGAGGGTGCCTGGGGCCAGGGGAACAGAAGCAAAGGCTGGCGCACAGCAGGTACACATGTGGGGATGGCAGAGACCCGGTCCACCAGCAGAGACGGTCTCCAGGCACACACAGGGTGACCTCGGGCAGCATGTATGGGGTGACAAATGGCAGACCGTCTTCAGGAACCCGGAGGCCAAAAATGTCAGCACACACGGGGTGAAAGTACATGGGTGACACGGGGCTGACACACGGGGTGATCCAGGGCAGAAAGCATCTTCAGGAACCTGGAGACCAGTAGTGTCAGCACATACGGGGTGACGGGACAGCACACACAGATGGGGCAGGCAGGGCGTGTGTGGCCCCTGCAGGGCTGCTGTGTCTCCAGACCTTTCTAGATGCCCTTTCTCTGGTGATGTCTAGTCCTCGGGTTGAGCCAGGTCTCCAGCTCTGGCCTGGCCCAGCCAAACGGGCTGAGGAAAAAATGGCCAGGGCAGGGCAGAGTGGGCAGCTCCCAGCACCTGCCACCGTGTATGGTCCACGGCAACTGCCACGACCCCAGCCCAAAGAGGGATTCTTATGGCTGTGGAGGAAGCCTGACCCCAAAGATTGTACCTTGCAGATGGCGTGTGAGGGGCACACCCAGGACACGCCGACGGCCACGTGAGGACCTTGCAAAGGCCACACCTGGCACACCTGGCACAGGAGCTGAGCTCAGATGCCAGGGGCAGGGGTTGTGTGCACCAGCAGTCATGGCTCCTCAGAGGAGCGAGCCGGCCTGGTCTCCTGCCTCAGTTACTTGGTCGGGGGGGGGCTTGCTCCACTCCTTCTCACACCATCTGCTCCCCATGGGGGACCAGGGCCTGGGGAGGCCGCCACCCACCTTTGCCCCTCAGCCACAGCCTGCCAGGGAGATGGGCTCTCCCCAGGCAGCAGCTGGCAGCACCCAACCCAGCCAGGCTCTGTCCCAGGCCTTCCTGGGTGAGTCCCCCGAGTGTGGGCCCCGGTCACTGTCCTTTCCCCAGCATGGATCCTTACATAAATTGTGCAAAGCCTGTGTGCCTTAGAGGTCCATGGAACCTAAGAGGGGATGCCAGCCTTGGAGGAGGCATTGAACTCCTGCCCGTCCCCGCCGACTGGCCTGCGTGGTTCCCTGGAGCCCCTGTGCCTCTGACGGTGGCCTCCAGGGCCTCTCTGGGCTCTCACCACGGCCGTTGGTTTCAGCTCCCACGGCCAGCTGTTGATCCTGTTGATCCCGAACGGGGGTAGTTTAAACACTTGTACGGGTTAACTGAGGCTGTTCCTGTTCAGAAAGACCCCGTGTGCTCTTTGAGTTGAGCAAAATAAATGGATAAATCACATTATCCCACTGGGCACTCATCCAGGAGTCAGCCAACTGGCAGGCAGGAGGCCTCTCTTCACAAACCCAGCCCAGGAAGTAACTCACTCCAGGCTCCACTGAAACAGACGGAGTTTTGCTTGTTGCTTTTCGAAAAGCCTCAAATCAGGCTCATTGTGTTTTAATGACCTCCACTGAGGAGATGAATCATAAAGTGGAATCAGAAAATATTTACACCAAATAGTTATTCTAAGAGACTCTAAGGGGATTTCATCTAGGGGACTTCCCACATACACATCACCTGCCAGGAAGACAAGGCAACCCACACTGATGATGAATGAGGAAACGCTTATTTTTTTTTTTTTGATATGGAGTCTTGCTGTGTTGCCCAGGCTCTGCTCCGCTCACTGCAACCTCCGCCTCCCAGGTTCAAGTGATTCTCCTGCCTCAGCCTCCTGAGTAGCTGGAATTACAGACATGCACCACCACAGCCAGCTAATTTTTGTATTTTTAGTAGAGATGGGGCTTCACCATGTTGGTCAGGCTGGTCTCAAACTCATGACCTCGTGATTCGCCCACCTCAGCCTCTCAAAGTGCTAGGATTATAGGCGTGAGCCACCTCACCTGGCCAGAAATGCTTTTAAAAGTACTAAAGAAGACAGTTTTATCAATGAAAAAAATACCACAGGACAAAGGTGTATGTGAGAAGTAATGAACCCAAGAGATGCTGACGATGGAAGGGCTGAAATGGACCATCGGGAGGCTTCTGAGCCAGCAGACACAAAACGGAACGTGGGCAAAGAACAAAAACATGCCGAAGCAGTCCCTCTTGAAAGTTTCCACGTGGACGTCTTCACTCAGCTTATTCCGTGTCACCAGCCTGCATGACCGTTCCCTCACCCAGGGGCTGTGATGCCGACGCAGTCTCCTCTCAGCAAATGAGGCTTCTCTAATCACTGCCCGCACCCCCCCAAAAAAATAGGAGAAAGTTGTGTTTTAAAATCAGTGCATTCTGAACTTAGGAGAAAGGAGGGGTGTGTCTGCAGTGGGGCTCCTTCCATAGCCACCTCCTTCTCCATAACCCTCTAGCCAGGCTTCCAACACCATTCTGAAAATGTGGGCGGGGGTACGAGGAAGCAGGTACAGGGTGGTGGCTGAGGCACAGGGCACAGTGCTGCACAGCGGGGTGAGCCTCACAGCCTGACCGTTCTGGACCACTAGCACCTGACAGCCCCCTGCTGTCACCAGGGTAAGACACTCAACAGTGTTCCAGCAGTCAGGGATGGATGGGTGCGTGGGTGGGAAGAGATGGAGACATGGATGTGTGGAGGGATGGACACACACATGGATGGATAAGTAAGTGGACAGACAGATGGACTAATGAATGGATGGACGAGTGGTTATGGGAGAATGGACAGATGGATAGACTAATGAATGGATCAATGGATGAATGAATGCGTTAACAGATGGATGGATGAATCGATGGATGGCTGGATGAATAAATAGATGGCTGAGTGGTTACAGATGAATGCCCAGACGGACTAACAAATGGATACATGGATGGATGGATGACTGAAAAATGGATGAGTGGTTATGGATGAATGAACAGATGGATGAATGAATGCATTAATGGATGGATGGATGAATAAATAGATGGATGTGTGGTTATCGATGAATGGAAAGATGGATGGACTAATGAATGGATTGATGGGTAAGGGGATAGGTGGTTATGGATGGACAGACAGACTAATAAATGAATAGATGGATGAATGAACGGAATAATGGACAGATAGATGGCTAGATGGATGGAAGTTAGAGGGTTATGGATGGATGGGTAAACATGTGAATGGATGGGGTGACATGGGCACTGATCCAAGAAAATTACACAATGAGAAAAACATACACAAAACAAAAGTTCAACACTAATATTAGCCACCTGTTGCCATGCCAATACAAACATCCCATGTGTTTGAATAGGTTGCAATCATGACTAATTCCATCTGCTTCAATGGCTATTTTTAAAAGTTAAAAGTGTTGCTCTGCTGGTTATAGATTTTTAGATATATTTGCTTTGAGCCAGGATGCAACAAGTCTAATCTTATTCCCTAAAGGAAGCCTGGCTGTGACGAAGAGGAGGAGCATGCATTTAACGACAAGAACTTCAGATAAACTGCAGCCTTCATTCTCCTCTGCTGAAACACAGACACTGCCATATTTGTCTGGGTTTCTAGTCCCAGGGAGGCCGTGCTGTCCTTAAGGACTAGGTGTGGTGGAGAAGCTCCACTCAGAAGTGGGTGACAACGCTGCTCTCGGCCACAGCTCATGAACAATGTCAGTGAATCAACAATGTACAGAACCAAACGTCCTTACACAGGAATGCACATGAAACAGGACGATCTGCTAAAATGTGCGTGGCCAGAGACGTGGCCCAGTGAGTCCTCTAGAGGCCAGACAGGCCGAGCACTCTTTGATTCAGCGTTCCGGGGCTCCGCAGAGCGGGACAACCACGGCTAACGGGGGTCCGCCCCTGGTAGTGCAGGCAGGTGCTGGGCTGGCTGCTCCGTGAGCTCCTCCCAGTGCAGGCCCCGGTGTGCAGGTCCCACTGTGACGACGGGTCTGGGAAGAACAGCTGAATGTGGGGCAGAGACCAGACAAGACACAGATAGGCCACACAGCACGAACTGTCAGATCCGGGATGAAGACAGAGCAGGTGAATAAACACACATGACAGACACAAACGCTAGATGGTTTGGCTCCCGGGGCATACTGAAAATCAAACCATTTGGAGAAAACATAAATTGTAATAATCAAAATGCAGTTACTCAGCAAGGAAACACGGGCACTCACACAGGCTGTATCTCCACCGCCCACCCTCCCCTCGGCCCTCCCTTCTCACTGGTTACAGGCTCATTCTGTATTCTCATACTGGTTGTAGGTGCATTCTATATTAGCCCGGCAGGAGGTAAGTCACTGCTGCGCAGCTATGGAGAACGTCCATCCACGGGAAAATACGAACGGAGGCCAGGAAGAAAACACACAGGGAAAGCACAAGGTAGGCCAACCACGGTCCCAGCCACGGTCTCAGCCACAGTGCCCACCATGGTCCCTGCCACATTCCCAGCCACGCTCCCCACCACGGTCCCAAACACAGTCATAACCACAGTCCCAACCATACTCCCAGCCACGCTTCCAACCACGGTCCCCGCCACCTTCCACACCATGGTCCTAGCCACAGTCCCCAAGCAAGGTCCCCACCACAATCCCTAACCGTGGGTCCCCAACCATGGTCCCAACCACGGTCCCCGGTGTGAATCAAAGCCCCCCCAGAAGGTTTCTACAGCAGGGTGGGGGGAGGGGGGAGGGATAAAAGTCTACACGTTGGGTACAATGTACATTGCTTGGGCGATGGGTGCACCCAAATCTCAGAAATCACCACTAAATAACTGATTCGTGTAACCAACCACCACCTGTTCCCCAAAACTATTGACATTTTTTTTTAAAAAGGATTTTATTAGCTGGGCATGGTGGCACATGACTGTAAACCCAGTTACTAGGGAGGCTGAGGCAGGACAATTACTTGAACCAGGGAGTCAGAGGTTGCAGTGAGCTGAGATCATGCCACTGCACTCCAGCCTGGTGACAGAGCAAGACTCTGTCCAAAAAAAAAAAAAAGTTTCTATAGAAATACGCCCTAAAAACAATGTAGACAGACACAAAAAAAATTGCATGCAATCATATTTTGGAAGTATTGTTTGCAGTAGCAGAAAAGTAGAAACAAAGAAATGACCCATAATAAGAATTCTTTTAGGCAAGTTTGCCAATTTAAAACAAATACCGTGGTCACTAACAAGGACGAGGCAGGCCTCTCATTACGAGACACGGCCGTGATGTGCTCCCAGATTTCAAAGCACGCACGGTGCATTACAGAGCAGGACGTGTATCAGGACCCAAGTTTTGAAAACAGATACCTGACAGAGGCAGACACCGTAACACGCGACACACGTGTGAGCGTGCGAGCGTGCCTCCGTGCTCGTCTGAGGAAAAAGCCCACCAGGTAGGGTTTCCCTCTAACGACCACAATGTGAGTAATTTGCTTCATTTTGTTCATCTTTATTTTTAAATTTTTCTAACATGAACACGTGCAAATTGCATAAAAACATTTTTACAATATATTGTAAAAGAAAACTAAAGTGGATGGTGCAATCAGTGGGTAAAAGAGCAGGCATGACGTCTCAGCTCACAGCGGGTGGAGAAAAGGCCGCTGAGCTCCGTGGCCAGCCGGCCTGCGGATTACCCCCTGTGCACTGAACCACACTCCACACCCACAGGAGCTGAACATCGAGGAGAAGTGGAGGAGGTGAACATCGAGGAGAAGTGCAGGGTCCTAGGACAGAAGGCAGTGGGGCAAGTTTCCAAAGCTCTCACACATTCATACACAACTTCGGGATTGCGCTAAGTACACAGGAAGGGCAGGAACTCCCTGGCTGGAGGGCAGCACTGCAGGCAGGCTCGGGGTGAGGCAGGTGACCCAGCCACGGGCAGCGGCAGAGGCGTGGTTTACATTGGAGAAAAACCTCTCCGACATCCAGCTAACTTCTGGTCCCCAGAAGCTGAGACCCAGGCTGAGAATTCGGGATGCCAGCTGGCTTCCTTCCAAGCCTTCACCGCATCACCCATTACTTCTCTAATTACCCAGGGCACACACTAGGTCAAACCGAAACCCGTCCCATCCCTTAGAGAAAAGTCCTCAGTTAAGCAACTGGATTACAAGCAATCTGGCTGTGACCTCTGGTCCCGTCGCTGAGCCAGCCTACCCTCAGCACAAGAGTCAGGCTGAGCCATCATGCACATTAAACTGCCTTCAATCCCCAAATGATAAACAACAGAATCCTTCCTGTTAGAAGAGGACGGAGTGAGTGTTAAAACCATCTGTGGCAGTTGTTGCTACAGCTCACACTCGAAGCTGGGTTGGGCGGTGGTAAAATCACTGTAAGTCCCAGAACACAGAGGCAAGCCAAGGGACTATCAGCATCACAGGCCTCTCTGAAAGTGTGAGGCAGGCAGAGCTGCTCCAGCCACCTCAACAGAACACTGCTGAGGAGAGCGCGCACACACACATATGCACACACTCGCACACGCTCACGCACACACGCGTACACGCTCACGCACACGTTCACGCACGCACATGCTCACGTACACACACGTTCATGCACGCACATGCTCACGCACACATGCACACACTCGCACACACTCATGCACACATGTTCACGCACGCACATGCTCACGCACACGTTCACGTACACACACGCTCACACACGTTCACGCACGCACACGCCGACACGTACACACTTGCACACACTCTCGCACACACGTACATTCGCACACGCTTACGTTCATGCACGCAAATGTACACACACGCTCACGCACACTGCCTCTGCTGTAAGTGGGCAGTCACAGATGAAATGTGGACACGCACATGCTCAGGCACACATGTACACACTCGCACATGCTCTCGCACACACATACATTTGCACACGCTCACGTTCACACACGCACACACGTTCATGCACACACACACGTACACACTCGCACACGTGCACACTCGCACACGCTCTCACACGCATATGTACACTCGCACATGCTCACGTGCACACTCGCACACGCTCATGCACGCACACATACACACTTGCACACGCTCATACATGCACGCACACAAAGGAAAATGAACTAGTGAGCGGAATTTTTGAGAGTGAGCATTCCTTCAGTCAAAGAACAGAGGAAAAGAAGAAAGAGTGAGCAATACCTGTGTGCTACTCAAGTCTGGGACAGCTACGGCAAAAACTGATGAGAAGCTCAAGGTTCACTTCTGCTTCCTGGACCCGCAGCTGGCCTCCACGCCCCAGCATCCTGCATCTGGGTTGGGATGTGTGCCATCTCTCCAACACACTGGGAGGAGAAACGGCGTGCCAGCTCTGAGCAGGTGGGAGCTGGGAGCCTTCACATAACCTTCTCTCTCCTCTTCCATGACAGCTCCGAGGGCCGGGGCTGAGGATGGTGGAGCTTCAGGAGGGGCAGAGCTGGGATCCTCGGGTCAATGCTAGAGCGAACCAAGCCAGACTGTAAACAGTTTTGCTTGTGACAGCTGCTTACCGCTGCCTCTGCTGTAAGTGGGCAGCCACAGACGAAATGTGGACAGACTGCCGTGGCACATCCCACAGAACTCAGGCACGAAAAACGCAGCTGTCCCCATGGGCCCTAGTCGGCCGACACCCAGCTTAGAGGTGAACCTCCAATGGAGAGCTGGCCAACCAACAATGTGTGCACTGGGTGTTGTGTGGGTGGGGTAGGAACTCACGGCGTGTGCACCGGGTGTTGAGTGGGTGGGGTAGGAACTCACGGCGTGTGCACCGGGTGTTGCGTGGGTGAGGCAGGAACTCACGGCGTGTGCACCGGGTGTTGCGTGGGTGAGGCAGGAACTCACGGCGTGTGCACTGGGTGTTGTGAGGGTGGGATAGTAACTCAGGGTGTGCACTGGGATTTCTGTGAGTGGGGCAGAAACTCAGAGTGTGCACTGGGTGTTGCGTGGGTGCAGTAGGAACTCACAGCGTTTAGTGCACAGAGCTTCTGCCATTGCTGTGTTCACCAAGTAAAGTTGAATGACCCTGACTAAGCCAAGGGCATTCCAAAGACAGATGGAGAACGCCAGGGAGAGTCATTTTCATGTTTTTGGTTTTTTTTTTTTAACTTGGGAATGTGAATGTGGTCATTATTTTAAGATGTTATTTATTTTACCACACCTGCTTGCAGTAGAATTCCAAGTAGATTAAACATTCATAGAACATTTTAAAAACACTTTTGTTTTTAAAACGTGAATGGAGATGTCTGCTTTAGAACAAGTTGGAATTACAGGGGCATGACTTTCTCTTCTGTCTGAAACAACCAAAAAAATGACTAAATAGATGAAGCAACTGTTTTCAAGTTGCTGGGCATCAGCCAACAAACAACTGATCCCTGTGAGATGGAAAACAGATGGAGCAAGCAGAAAACGGCCCCAGCTCATTGCCTAAGAGAGAAGACGATGCTGACTACCCGGGAGACCAGGCGGCAGAACTGGCAGGACAGGGACAGACATAAGACCCCGAGCCCTCCCGGGATAGGGAGAGAAGAGTCCCAGGGGCCTGCAGAGCACCCAGCGCTGAGCTGACCCTGAACAGCACACACCTGCAGGTAAATTGCCCACGGCCAGAAAAGCACCAAATGGACTACGGATCATGGTGCCCCCCACACACACTGGGTCAGGAGTGAGCAGTGCCTGTTCTCATCCGCCAGACTGAAAAACTCAGGATTCACAGGCATTTGGTATGTGACATGGAAGAGCCTTGCCTCGTTGTTGAAAATGATGAGCCTTAGGTAAAGCACTGCTCTCAAATCCTGCCTAACAAATCTTAAAACCAAGACCTTAAAGAACCAAACTGTTTCCACATAACTGTACCCAAGAACAAAGCTCAAGGAAAACTGTAAGAACACAGAAGTATCCAGTGCTCACCAAAGTAAAATTTCCAGTGACTGGAATCTGCTAAAAACTGATACAGCATGAAAAGAAGGATATTATCATTTCTATTGAGAAGATTACATTCTTCAATTAAAACCAACCCAGAATAGCCACAGGTGTTAGAGTTATCAGAGTTAGCAGATTATTAAAATTATATTTATTCCACGAGTTCAAAACATCAAGTAGAGTCATGGAAGATTTTTTTAATATTCACATTAGAGAGGTGAAAATCACAATGTCTGAGCTGAAAAATATATAAAATTAACAGTAAACTGGACATTGAGAGAGAAAGACTTGTTACTTTCAAGACAAAAATCAGAAGCTACCCAAAGTGAAACACATACAGAAAAAGACACAATAACAAAAAATTAAGCAATGTGTGAGTGAGCCTGGCCTCATATATGTATCACTGGAATCTTCAAAGAAGGGGGGGACAAAGGTGGGGACAGAAAACATATCTGAAGATGAAACACCCTCAAATTCTCCAAATTTGAAGAAATCTGTAAACCTACAAGTCCAAGATTTAAAAAATAAAGTTAAATAAAAAATTTAAATTAAAAAACCCAAGCACAAGAAACAGAAAACCACACCAAGTCATATCATAATCAAATTGCTCAACACCAGGGATAAGGAGAAATTCTGAGAAGCACCAGAAACACAAAGATGAAACAAAGACACAGGTGTCAGTAGACTTCTCATGGGAAACAATGGGAGAGGACATTTTTAAAGCCGTGTCGGCCGGGTTCAGTGCTTCACACCTGTAATCCCGACACATTAGGAGGCTAAGGTGGGTGGACCACCTGAGGCCAGGAGTTCGAGACCAGCCTGGCCAACATGGTAAAACCCCATTTCTATTAAAAATACAAAACATTAGCCAGGTGTGGTGGTGTGTGCCTGTAATCCCAGCTATTCGGGAGGCTGAGGCAGGAGAATCGCCTGAAGCTGGGAGGCAGAGGCTGCAGTGAGCCAAGATGGTGCCACTGCACTCCAGCCTGGGAGACAGAGCAAGACTCCATCTTAGACAAAAAAAAAAAAAGCTGTATCACAGAAAACCACCAACTCAGAGTATTACTCAGCAAAATATCATTTGAAAATGAAGGCAAAGTAAAGCACTTTTTAAACATCCAAAAGCTAAAAGAATTGATCACCAACAGACCTGCACTACAAGACCTTTTTTTAGAGCTCTCGAAGTAAAAGGACTAAAATATGAACCCATGCAGAGGAATAAGCCGAGCTGGAAAGAACAAAAACATGTTTCTGCGTATTTAAATCTCTAAAAAGATAACTGACAGCTTAAATGAAATGATACAAGTGCCGTGTGGCGTTTGTGACATATGTACAAACAGAAGTAGGACAAGAGTGTCACAAGAACTGCGGCCAGAGAGAAATGGAAACACAGGCGTACCATCGGATATTTCAGAGTTGGGCACAGATCGCTGAAATAAGTTGAAAATTGCAAAAAAGTTATTCACATGAATGTTTTGATCTCCTGGTACATATAAAAGTTCTATGTTCACTATAATCTAGCTGATAAAGTATACAATAGCATTACGTCTAAAAAATGTACAGACCTTATTTAAAAACTATTGTAAGGCTAAAATAATGTTATAAAACACCTGAGCTTTCAGAGAGTTTCTTCTTTTTGCTGGTGGGGAACCTTGCTTTGATGTTGCTGGCGCTGATGATCAGGGTGGTGGTTGCTGAAGGTTGGGGTGGCTACGGCAATTTCTTAAAATAAGACAATACGTTTGCCACATCTATTGGCTCTTCCATTCACAAAAGGTTTCTCTGTAGTATGTGATACTGTTTGATAGCTTTTTATCCACAGAACTTCATTCAAAACTGGAGTCAGTCCTCTCAAAGCCTGCTGCTGCTTTATCCACTCAGTTTAGGGAATATTCTAAATCCTTGGTTGTCATTTCAACAATGTTCACAGCATCTTCACCAGGAGCAGACTCCATTTCAAGAAGCCACTTTTCATGCTTATCCATAGACACAGCTCCTCATCTACTCAAGTTTTATCATGAAATTGCAGCAATTCTCTCCTATATTCAGACTCCATTTTTAATTCTAGTTCTCTTGCTATTTCCACCACATCTGCAGTGACTTTCTCCATGGAAGTCTTTGAACCCCTCAAGGTCATCCGTGAGGGTTAGAAGCAACTTCTTCCAAACTCCTGTACTTATTGATGTTTCGACCTCCTATGAATCAAAAATATTCTTAATGGCATCTAGAATGATGAATCCTTTCCAGAAGGATTTCAATTGACTTTGCCCAGTTCAATCAGAGAACTCACTATCTATGGGAATTATAGCATTATGGAATGAACATATTAAATAATAAGGCTTGAAAGTCAAAATTATTCCTTAATTCATGGCCTGCAGATTAGATGTTTTGTGTTAGCAGCCACGAAGACAACATTAATCTCTTTGTATTCTCCATCAGAGTTCTTGGGTGACTGGACACATTGTAAATGAACAGCAGTATTTTGAAAAGAATCTTTTTTCCTAAGCAGTAGGTCTCAACAGTGGGCTTAAAATATTCAGAGAACCATGCTGTAAACAGGTGTGCTGTCATCCAGGCCTTGTTTTTCCATTGGTAGAGCACAAACATAGTAGATTTAGCATGGTCCTTAAGACCCTAGAGTTTGGGGAATGGTAAATGAGCACTGGCTTTAGCCGAAAGTCACCAGCTGCAGTATCTACTGACCAAGAGAGTCAGCCTGTCCTTTGAAGCTTTGAAGCCAGGCATTGACTTCTCTCTAGCTATGAAAAGTCCTAGATGGCATCTCCTTCCTATAGAAGGCTGCTTTGTCCACATTAAAAATCTGTTGTTTGGTGCCACCTTAATCACTGTTACTAGCTGGATCCTCTGGAGAACTTGCTGCAGCTTCTCCATCAGCACTTGCTTCTTCACCTTGCACGTTTATCTTATGGAGTTGGCTTATTTCCTTACACCTTATGAACCAAACTCTGCTAGCTCCAAACTTTCCTTCTGCAGCTTCCTTGTCTCTCTGCCTTTAAAGAAATGAAGAAAGTTAGGGCCTTGCTCTGGATCGGCCTTTGGCTGAACAGAATGTTGTGGCTGGTTTGCGCTTCTTCCCAAACCACTAAAACTTCCTCTATAACTAACTGATGCAAGAGGCCTAGTTTTTGACTTAGCTCAGCTTTTGACATGCCTTCTTCACTAAGCTTAATCATTTCTAGCTTTTGATTTGAAGTAAGGGAAGTGCAGCTCTTCCTTTCACTAGTACACCGAAAGGCCATTGTAGAATTATCAATTGGCCTGATTTCAATACTATTGTGTCTCGGGAAATAAGGCCTCGAAAGAGGGTAAGAGAAGGGGGAACGGCCAGGCAGCGGAACGGTCAGAACACACACACAATTCAGGTTAAGTTTGCAGTCTTACACAGGTGTGGTTTATCACACCCTAAAACAACTACAATAGGAGCATCAAAGATCACTGATTACAGGCCAGCCACACGGGCTCACACCTGTCATCCCAGGGCTTTCAGAGGCCAACGTGGGAGGACTGCTGAAAGCCAGGAGTTTGAGACCAGCCTGGACAAATAGCAAGACCCCATCTCTACAAAATAAAAAGTTTTTAAAAAAATTTTTTTAAAAATCCAGGCATGGGGGCACGTGCTTATAGTCCCAGCTACTCAAGGGTAGCTGGGAGCAGGAGGCTAAGGCAGGAGGATTAGTCGAACCCAGGAGGTGGATGTCAAAACTTAGCAAGTGTACTTTAAATATGTGCCCTTTTAAAACGTTGACTATGTCTGATGAGGCATATTTTTCCCTAAGTAAAAATCCTCGTGTGGACAAAGGTCAAATAGGGTAACAGTCACTGGCCAAGTTTCTACCTCTGATTTAACTGTGGAACAAAAGACAGACACGTCTGTGGGCTCCTCCTAAAGCCTGCAGAGCTCTGCAGGGCTCAGGAGGCAACGGCCGGGTAGGTCAGAGGGTGCGGGGCTGACCGCTGCCCGCTTTCCCGTAAACATCCTGCCCTGGTGCTCCGAGCAGTTCAGATACGCTGGGCATCTGGAGACGAGCAGGGTAGGAACGCTGCTTTCCATGGGCTGATGACGCAAGGCAGTCAGACCAGGAACAAACAAAAGATGTCTGAACACGCAGGGCCTTGGCCACATGGAGCAGGGCCTGCCCTTCTTCACCTTGGGCCTCCAGACTCCGTTCCATGGGGGTCAGTGTCTCCCATCCTCTTTGCTTGGGAGTGCTCAGATTAATAAACGGCGGCGGGAGCAACAGCCTCAGAGTAAAGAAAGCAGTGAACAGAACAGCAGTGACAGCTGACCACGCGCCTGAGTCAGGGAGACCTAACCCATGAGACAGCCCATGGTCTGCTGATGGCTTTTGCTTGTCTGTGCCAGCGTCAGTTCACCTCGCCTGAGTAGCGTTCCACTGAGACTGCTTTCAGGTTTTACTATTTTGCTGTTGCCTTTTGCATCTGAAGAGAAATCAGATGGGGACAAACATAAGGCCTATTTTTTTTTTTTTAGACAGAGTCTTGCTCTGTCCAAGCTGGAGTGCAGTGGCCGGATCTCAACTCACTGCAACCTCCGCCTCCTGGGTTCAAGTGATTTGCCTGCTTCAGCCTCCTGAGTAGCTGGGATACAGGCGTGTGCCACCATGCCTGGCTAATTTTTGTGTTTTTAGTCGAGATGGGGTTTTACCATGTTAGCCAGGCTGGTCTCGAACCCCTGACCTCAGGTGATCCACCCTCCTCTGCCTTCCAAAGTGCTGGGATTACAGGTGTGAGCCGCCATGCCTACCTTAATGACTATTTTTCAAAATAAACTTTAAAACAAAGAAAATGAAAATGACTAGTGTTATCAATTTAGAAAAAAAATCAATCAGTGGTATTGTTTCAGCATCAAAAAAGCGTGCACCCACCCAGTGACATACGTGTGTTAAGTCACATGCGGGTAGCCCGCAGCACGCTGAGTTTCACAATTCAACCAACCAGCCTTGGTCCTGGGGAACTACTGGCCCACGTACAGAGATACCACTAACATATAAAATCTCCTGACTGGCATTTTTAAGCCTCAAACATGGTAAAGTTTGCCTTCTCTTAAAATGAATTTCCTCAGAAAAGGTACTTTTAGATAAATCACATTTTCTTATGTACCCAAAAAACATATGACTGTCACTATTAAAATAATCATTAAACCCAGACGCTGGGAAGCTTGCGAGGTGTCACCTGTTGGTCACTGAAGACCCGAGGTCAGCAGGAGCTTCTCAGCTCTGGACCTTGAGTAGGAGCGGGGAAGACCTCGGTACTCCTAAGAGACCGCCCGAGTCCCCAGCCCTGAGCTCCCTCCCAGAGCACTACCTGGGCCTGGCAGGACTTCATGCATTTGCATCGATTTCAGCTTCTTCTTACTGTCAAGTGCAAAGGAAAAACATTTGGATTCTCCAATCAAAAAGGTAAATCTCATAATGAGCCAAGGGGGATCAGCATAATGCACACAGATCTTCAAACTTTTTGGGGGGTCTAGGTCTGGCTCTGTCGCCCAGGCTGGAGTGCAGTGGTGCGATTCCAGCCCAGTACAACCTCCACCTCCCAGGCTGAACCGATTCTCCTGCCTCAGCCTGAGTAGCTGGGACCACAGGTGCGCACCACCAGGCCCAGCTAATTGTTTGTATTTCTGGTAGAGAAGTGTTTGGCCATGTAGCCCGGGCTGGTCTCGAACTCCTGAGCTCAGGCAATCTGCCCGCATTGGCCTCCCAAAGTGCTGGGATTACAGCTGTGAGCCACCACCACACCCTGCCTGATCTTCCACCTCTTCCCTAGCTTTGAGATTCCTGAGGAGCTCTGCCCTGCAGGCTGGAAGTCTGTCTTTGTTTGTGTTTACATATTTAATTTCCAATCCTGGATCTGCGCCAAGGAGGCTCCTGCCCAGACAATGCAGCATCCACTCTGCTTCAAAAGGCTCAGGTTTCATCGTAGGCAAGGGCCCGCACCCGCTTCTGGCCAGTGTGTTCCGGGAAGATCAGACACCATCCATGGCCCCAGAGGCAGTCATGCCCTCCAGACCCAGTGGTGAGACCTCAGGTCCACTCATGGATGACCTGAAAACTGGCGTGCCACACAGACCATCCGGTCCATTAAGACAATTCCCCAAACGTCTGCTTGGGCACTAAGAAAGAGCCACTGTCGGGAGGGAACTATACAGCTGCCAATCATCTGCAACTAAGGAAACGGAGTCAGAACAGAGAAGCAAGCCAAGTCACCCACCCAAAGGAGAAAACCTCAGTCTACCGCAGCCTGTGGACCCTGGACGGGACCATGTGACTATATGACACTTCAAGCTGGAGCTGGTCCGCCCACCGCCTTACAAACATCTAAACATGTTTTAAGTACCTCCATGGTGCTTTTCAAATGCATTTGAGTGGGAATAATGAAGTCTTTGACTCTGTTGTGCCAATAAACATGAAAGTCATCATTTGTTCCATGAAGGCAAACACTGACACTAAAGCCTGCAGTCCCAGAAGACGCATCCCTGTCCCGGCAGAGGTATCTCATGTAGGCTGGAGAAGCCCCAGTCTCCTGCTCACCCCCTGGGACCACTGCAGTCTCCTGCCTAAAGGAGGAGAGGCCTGGTGTCCGTCCCCAGGGCTGTGGGTCCTCACATGAGACGCAGATAAATGTGAGGGAACTTCCCGGGAGCAGCAGGATGCAGAGGAGGAGGAGGGGGGTGTGGAAAGTGCTGAGGGTGGAGAGCCAGGGAGCCCCCCTGCCAGGTGCCCCCCTGCCAGGTGGCCCCCTGCAGCACCACCCAGCCCCTTCCCCGAGTGCCAGGCCACACACAGTGACTTCTACGCACGTGTGAGGAGGAGAGGTCCTCTCTGAAAGGCGGTCGGGGAAGCTCCAAGGATAAACCTTGGCCCCATGTGACTCAGGGGATGCAGGAAGTCAGTTAAAAGGCCCAGAACCCACTCCCATCCATGGACTATGAGCCCCAGAGGGCCTGGGGGACATGCAGGTGGTGGAGCTCCACGGAGCGGTGACACTGGAACCTTCTGCCCATGTGGACACCAGCCGGGAGGTGGGCATCCACTCGGTCCAGACCACCAAGCATGCAGGTCGCAAGAGCTCTGCACCCCCCATCCCCAGTCCCACTAGGCCTGCACACACCTGGGGTCATCTTATCCCTCCTCCGGAAGCCCCCTCACTCTCTGAGGAGGGCATGGCAGGTCGAGCTCCAGTGTGTCCAGCCAGCACCTTGGTGCGGCATGACTTCAATGAACGAAGTTTAAAGTGTGACCTCCCCAAAAGCCTGGGGTTGACAGGAGGAAAGGAAGGGGCGCAGAGCAGTGCACTTTACCCTTAATACTAGCTTTTAACTGCCATTGTGACAAGCTTTGATTGTGCTGGATACAGAAAGATGCTGTATTTAAAAGCCAGGTATTTCTGCACAGTGGAACTGAGTAAGGCCTCCGGAGGCCTCCGTGGGATGCCCAGCATCAGCGCCAAAGCCCCCGACCCAGGACCGAGCTGCAGCGGGTGTGGGTGGCAGCCACTCCAGAGCGCCCTTCACACTTGCAGCCCAGCGAGCTCAAAGTGGATCCAAACCTGAGTCATGGTGGGCTTATTCCACTGTTTTCCAAAGCCCCAACCCACAAATGAGACAGTCCAGTGTCAGGCCCCGCTTAAACACACGCCTGCATTGGAGGGGAAGGAGCCATAAGATGTTTTCCGATGATTGTGTCTCTTGGGGGGCTGAGTGGGGGTGAGTCTCTTAAAAGCAAAGAGACAGTGTGATGGTTGGATGGCCCAACTAACTTTTAGGCAGGGTTTGTTTTAATTTTCATATATAATATGTTCCCAATTTCTACCAAAAATTTTTAATAGAAAATAATCCCACATACGTGAGAGCGCAGCGCTGGGAGAAGGCTGAAAGCGGACATTAAACGTTTATTCATGTCTACCATGTTGATGCATAACTGTCATCTCAAGCAAGAGCCTCCCAGACCATGTCCCCAGGGGCCCCTCAACAGATGCCCCCCCGAGAATGGGTCTCCCTCTTGCCCCGTCCCTGCCTCCCCAGGCTGCACTCCCTACGGCTCTCTCAGGACGCCTGTCCACTGTGCCCAGGTCCACACAGCTACACCCTCGCGTTCTCCCAGGGGACCTGGGACTTACTAAAAGTCAGTCACCCAGCTGGAATGCATCCAGCCAGGACTCCATTCTGGCCAGCAGCGACGCCCTCTTCCTCGTGGCCGCAGGAACAGCAGCGGGAGCTGCATTTCTCTCCCAGAGCGACTGATTCCACGGCCATAGAATGGGTATGTTCATTTCTCCAATAAAGTGTTTAGGTCTATATGGGATTTGATCAACTTAACAGCTACTAGTCTACCTGCCTCACAGGGTCAGTGCGACTCCGCAGGGACATTCACAGTACCACCGAAGGCTGCAAACCCCTGGAAGCGTAAGGCAGAAACGATGCGAGGCGCTGGTTGAGAACGGTGGAGAGTCGACTATGACGTCACTCGTCTACTCTGAGCTCCTTTTTCAAACGCTGTGAAGTGTTTGTGGGCGACCACACCACGCAAAGCGGAGCAGAGGCCCCCAGCTGGCTTCTACGACACTTATTTTTAGATGTTTTTTTCAACACGCAATTCATATTCCAGAGCAAAGCATACGGCAAGCTTCATTAACCAGACCGGGCGTGAAAAATGACTTTGAGGTCCCCTTTTTCCACTGGCTCAGCAGGAATGACACTATCCAGACCCAGGGAAACCTCGCGCTGCTCCATTCTAAACATTCACTGCTTTCCAGTGAGATGCCCCCAGGACGTCCGGCCTGGGCTGGCCACTCCCAGGCTCTGGAAAGAAAGCCTTGGTCTCTCTCCCGAGGAGCAATTTCCCAGGCGGAGAGGAGCGCGCGCCCCTGTCCCGCCACCCCCCCAGATCCTGCAGGAAGCCGCCTGCAAACTCGGGGACCCCTGGGAGCGGGGGCTGGTCGGGGCACTTTGTTTCGGAGGTAACCACACTGGCCGCCCGCTTCCGGAATTGTTCACTCACATTTTTAGAACTTTTGCAGACTCCCCGGCCGTGCCAAGCAGTCCTCTGGCTCAGCTAAGGAAAGTGAAAACTTTCTGGCCTGCAGAAGAGCAGCTCTAGGACTAAGTCAGAGTCGGCGCCTGAAACGCGGCCTCCCTTCACAGATTCCCGAAACGTTTAATCCGAGTCGCTTCGGAACACGGGAGGCCGCGGCGAGCTCCGGAGGCGACTCTGTACCTGGAGCCAGCGGCGGCGGAAGGGATGGGAATTCCGCTTTGGAGACCGCGGCGCGGGGAGGCCCACGGGCAGGATGCAGGGTGTCCACCCCCACGCAATGAGCCGGGTTAGTGCAGCACGGCGCCGACACGGGAGAAGGGACGTGCCCTGGGCAGAAACCCGCTCCGAGCCCCGAAGCTCCGTGATCGCCCCGCGGCCCCTCCCGGGAACCCCGGCCGCCCGGCTCGCTCCGGGCGCAGGAAAAGCCTCTGAGAGCCGCAGGGCCCCGGGGACACCCCAGGAGAGGGCGCTCCTGGCGCCGGGGCGGATGCGGGGGCCCTGGGAGCTGGGCCTCGGCCGGGAACTGGGGCGGCGCTGGGGAGGCTTCCCCGGCGCGGGGGGATGGGGTGGGCACCGCGCTCCGAGAGGCTGGGGTGGGGGAAGCGGGGGAGGAAGGGGAGAAGGAAGGGGAGCGGAGGAGGGGAGCGAACAAGACGAGGAGGGGGCGGAGGGGGCGGAGGGGGCCTGAGCGGGGAAAGGTGAGAGGAGGGACCGCGAAGGAGGGGGAAGCGGGCGGCGCGCGGAGCTGGGGAGCTGGGGGAGGCGAGCGGGGCTTCCCCGGCGGCCCCAACAACTTTCCGCAGAGTTGCGAACAAAGGCGGATCTGGAGGCCGCGCGCACCGCGCTCAGATCCGCCTCTAGGCGTCCCGGCCGGGACCTACAAAGGCCCAGCGGGCCCTGTGACGCCCCGATCTCCCCACGTCCCCCTTCGGAGGATCCCTGCTGCGCCCAGAGCCCCCTGCCCCCGCGCGTCCGAGGCCCCTTCACCCTCCGTGCCCCCAGCTTCCGATCACCCCTGCGTCCCCGGATCTCCACGCACCTCTGGGCCCCAGGTCCTCGCCTCCCCGCGCCCCCAGCCTCCGATCACCCCTGCGCCCCCGGATCTCCCTCCATGCACCCCGGGCCCCCGGACCCCGCGCCCCCGGCGCCCCGGCCGCACTCACAGGATGGAGGTCTGCGGCGCCACGGCAGGCACGGCCTCCAGCAGCAGATGCATGCAGCGCACGGTGGTGCGGAAGCAGAGGCAGCGGCTAGGACACCCGGCGCCCGGCTTCTGAGCCACCACCGCCAGCGCGCCCCAGGCGCAGCACAGCACCAGCGCCCGCAGGCAGCGGCGCATGGGGCCAGAGGAGCGCTGGGCCATGGCCGACGGCGCGGACGGACGCTCGGACGCACGGAGCCGCCGCGGAGGGCCCGGCGCGACCACGGCCGGCTCCCGACTGCGCCCGCCCGGCCGCGGCCCACGTCCCAGCTGTGCGCGGGGGGCGGGGGGCGCCAGCGGTGCACATGCGCGCGGCTCCTCCCGGCCCCTCCGAATCCCCGAGGGCGGGGCGGGGCGAGGACCCGCGGCCCCAGCGTCCGGCCCCGGCGCCCGCATCCAGTTGGCGCGACCCGCATGGCCTCGGCGAGCACCTAGGGGCGCGGAGGGGAGCACAGGCACCCCGATTCTGCGCTCGGGACCCTGGGGGCTACGCAAAGCTTCTCCACCTCTCTTACTCGAGGTTCCAACCTGCGCGCACTGTGGGTTTTTCTGTTGGCGTCCTGCTGTTTTATAACACTTTTGAGCGTCTGCTCTGTTCCAGGCAGGAGTCCAGGCGCGTGCGCGCTCCTCTCTCTCTCCCTCTTCCTCTCCCTACCCGCAACCACGTAGGAAATTACTTAACGTCAAAAAAGCTCCGCATTACTTGAGGAAACTGAAGCCCAAGCCCCAAGGCGCACAGCGAGGGTGCCTCTGCGGGAAGATGAGACCCAGGTGGTCGTGCTCCCGGGGCCTGTGGGCCTCCTGCTCTCTGCCGACCCCCTGGCTCAGCACTGCTGGGTGAATGGCAGGTCCTGTGTGGAGTCCTTGGGATGCTCACGGCCTTCAGTGCCTGCCCTCCTGGGACAGACCTAGAAGGAGACCCAGGGAGCCACCCCACGTCGGGGTTGTCCACAGGCAGCAGAAGACCTTGCAAAGGAGGGAAGTCGCTGCGGTGAAAACTACACACGGTTAAAGGTGGCGTTCTCACACAGTGCACACATTTCTCCAATAATCCCACTAGGACCCAGCCTTTGAATTTTACAGATAAGGAAGGTGAGGCCGAGCTGTTGAGCCCAGGCCGCAGCGTGATAGTGCCAGATTCAGAAACACAGCGTGGCGTGTTCCCACTGCAAGATTCGATCCACACTCTTCAGTGGGTACAGCTCACACTGCAGATGCCGTCTCTATCCGCATACTTCAGTGGTCCAGTTCAGTCTCCAGATGCTATCTCTCCTGTAGGGTCCTGTGTACACATTCCAGGGGTTCAGTTCACATTGTAGACCCCGTCTGTCCTGCAGGGTCCTATCCACACACTCCAGTGACTCCAGTTCACACCGTAGATGCCATAACTTATGCAGAATTCTATCCACACACACTGGTGGTGCAATTAATGTCCCGGATGCCATGTCTTCTGCAGAATCCTGTCCACACATGTCAGTGGGTCCAGTTGACACTCTACATGTGCTCTCTCCTGCAGGCTCGTATCCACACACCCCAGTGGTGCCATTCACACTCCAGCTGCATCTCTCCTGCAGCAGGATCTCCACACCCTGTAGTGGGTTCAGTTCACTCTCCAGAGGCCAACACTTTTGCAGGATCCTATACACACACTTTAGTGGGGCCGGCTCACAGTCCCGAAGCCGTTACTCCGGCACAATCCTAGCCACACACCCCAGTGGCCCAGTTCATGCTGCAGATGCCTTCTCTTCCGCAGGATCCTCTCCAGTTCACACTCGAGTGGCCATCTCTCCTGCAGGACCCGAGCCACACACTCCAGTGCTCCACTTCACACTGCAGATGTCTTCACTCCTGAAGGGTGCTGTCCACACAGTCTTGTGAATGCAGTTCACACTCCACAGGCCATCACTCTTGCAGGAGCCTGTCTACACACTCAAGGCAGTCCAGATCACATGGAACATGTCATCACTCCTGTGCGATGCTATCCACACACTCCAGTGGGTTCGGTCCACACTGCAGGTCCCATCTCTCCTGAAGGATCCTGACTACTCACTGCAGTGGCTGAGTTTACGCTGCAGATGCTGAGTCTCCTACAGTATCCTATCCAAAGATTCCGGTGGGTCCAGTTCCCACTGCAGATGGCACCTCCCCTGCAGGGTTCTATCCACACACTCAAGTGTGTCCACCTGGGCTTGGAGAACATGGCGGGGGAGTGTCTCACCTGGGCTTG